GAAATCTGGCACATGGAGTTCTGGTCCTGCCTTAGAGGCATGAAAGCCAGCTGGGTGACTTTGGGCCATTCAGCCACACTCTCAGCCAAACTCAACTCACAGGGTTGTGGCTGTGGGGAAATAATCGCAATGAAAGCCAGTTTGGTTTGGTAATTAATCTACGAGCAAAGGGAGCCATGAATCCTAGTCCCATCTTAGCCATGAAAGCTGGCTGGATGACTTTGCACCAATTGCCAGGAGACTGTGAGTTCTAGTTCTGTCTTCGCCACGAAAGCCAGCTGGTTGAAATAGCATTGTTTTTGCCACCTTGAGTTGTTTATAAAAATAGAAAGTGGAATGTAAATTCCATTTTTTTTAAAAAAACCACTCCTGGTTTGGGCTACAATAACGATTATCATTCAGTCGCTTGGTGACTTCGTGGATAGAGCCAGGTACATTGCATGGAAGTGGTTTTCCAGCACGTTTTCTCAACTAGGCTAAATTTCTTAGCTGTCTTTTTAGGTCCAGGTATCAAACCTACTTAGTTTTTCCGCTGTCCACCAGGATAGGTTGCCACTTAAAGTGAGGGCACAGTGTTAAATACAAGCGCCCATCACTCATGATACAGGGGTTTGGGGGAAAGACAAGGCATTGGTTTTTTTTTCTTTTTGCAAAAAGGAAGAAAAAAAATTGGCAACCCCAGCAGGGTATTATTCCACAGCAAGACAGGCCAAGTTTCCTCTAGAATTCCCACAGCTTAAACAAGTTTGTAACCCAGGGAAAGTTTGACAAGAGATGGGTCGCCCCACCGAGAAAAGGTAAAAGGAGAAACAAATTCTAACTTGCTCCCGTTACCTGGGATTTGGGTTATTGCAAATAAAGGGGGAGATTTGTAGCTCAGAGTTGACATGAGAGGTCCTTGGTGCTCTCTGAGCTTGTCTGTTTTCTTGCAGGCGTTTCACCACCCAAACTAGGTTACATCATCAGTGTTTCACTACCCAAACTAGGTAGCATCACTGATGATGTTACCTAGTTTAGGTAATGAAAACGTCTAAAAGAAAAAAAAAACGGTTGAAGGTTTTAGAATGCAAGCTGGATTTATACCTGGAAATTCCCAAGGGTGAGCAAAATAAAAGTTGAGGCTCTGAATTGGCTTCCTGGCGGAGAACATGCTCCCTAATTAATTATCCTACATCAAGAAGGATGCTTTTCAATTTATGTATTATGAGCAAAATGAAACGAGAGGATTCCTGCATGTTTCATGACTTTAACCTCATCAGTAATAGCTTATTGAACAAACTATATTGCTTAAGTGTAATACATGAGTTATAAATTAAATTTTTAAAAATGATTCGGTGCAGGGATGAAGAGATTCCGACACCCACAACTGAGAGAGAAGTTTATAGGGTCCACAAAAAGATTTTGAAAAAGCATGCAACCTTTTTTATCCTTTTTTAAAATTCACTTCTAGAAATCTCCCCTGCTTCAGTCTGTCCAACTAGAAATATTTTGGGGGGGAAGGTATCTGTTTGATATCTCTTTCTCGAGAGGTAGCCAAATTTATTTGTGTCAGGTGAGGAGGAAAATCTATCAAGATCAGGAAAGGTTCAAACCAGGTCCAATTTCTCCTCGAGAGGTTTTATTTATAGCCAGCTCGGCTATAGGCTCTTGCTTGGGAAATGTCAGCCTAGAATGATGAGTTTATACTGGAATTTCCGCAATTTCTAGAATGGCTTTAAATATCAGAAGCTTGCGACACATAAACCACAGCAGATGGCTTGGTGACATGTTGGTCATCAGCCCCCAGGGGAGAGGGAGGGAAGGGGGGGAAAGTTGGGGTGAGGAGAGCACTGGACCTGAGTGAAGACTTCACAGTGCACAATACTGTGGCATATATCTATGCCTATCTATTGAAGTATGTATGTGAGGACCTGACTGAAGACTTCACAATGCAGAGAACTGAGGCTTATGGCTATGCCTCTCTGTTGAAGCTGTAAGTGAGGACCAGAGTGAAGACTTCACTCTGCAAGTGGAACTTTCTATGTATGTATGAAGGAGGGAAACACAGAGACAAATGGCTGCCCAGCCTCTTCTTAAAGACCTCCAGTGATGGAGCCCCCACAACTTCTGGAGGGAAGCCATTCCACCGATTAATTGTCCTCCCTGTCAGGAAATTCCTCTTTAGTTATAAGTTGCTTCTCTCCTTGATGAGTTTCCATCCGTTGCTTCTTGTCCTGCCTTCTGAAGGGGCTTTGGAGAATAAGTTTGACCCCCTCCTCTTCTTTGGGGCAGCCCCTGAAATACTGGAAGACTGCTGTGATGTCTCACACACACACACACACACACACACACACACACACACACACAAGTCCTTCTTTTCGCTAGAGTGGACGCACCCAATTCCTGAAATCTTCTGTTTTCGCCTCCAGCCCCCTTAATCGGTAAGCAATGTGAGAAGGTTCTTGGCTTTGGGGATTTTCCCCCGGTGGGGCACCCCACATATTCCACAACTGGACTGTCTGTGTTGAAAAATAACCGCACAACAAGGCCGGGAAGCTTCCCCCAGTTATTTTAGCCGGCCATGAACAGAAACAGGATGGTGGGGAAATAGAGGGAGACCGAAGAAAGGATGGGAGGACTTAGCAGAGGAAATGG